TGTGAGTTGGAAAAAAAAAAAAAAAAGACTCAACAGTACCTAATGACAACAACAATGGAGATTTAAAAGCTTTTGAGCCATGTATACAGGTCTCGTTGTTGCAACTTTTTAGAGTTGTGTTCTCTGCACTGTGCTCATTAGAAGGCTGAGCACTTCCTTTTCTGTTTGAGTATTGGTGCTTCTATTCCAGGGTTCATTTTCCTTAACCTTCCTGGACAGAATGCAGAAAGTTTTACAAGATTTGGTTAAATGATTGTGGTATGAACAGAATCCAAAAGAAATGTCCGGGCAAGGATGGGAACTTTATTTTTTCATAGATGCTTCATGAGAAACACACTCAGAAAATCTGTGATAGCTTTTCTCCAGATTCTTTGCAATTTATGTGATTCAAATTCCCTAAGGATGACTGATGAGTTTAAGCATGCAAAGTCATTGCCCAATCTTATATTTTTAGCGTATGCAACTGGGCTGACATGCTCACAGTAATGGGGGGAGGGGCTGTATTAGGTTTTGCCATGTGAAACTGGCTTTTTTTGTAATGTTGGAAATGATCACGTGGTGAAAATTTCACACAGTCCAACCTAGTATAAGTCAGTCATCCATTGAGTAGCAATTTTAAATAAGTATCTAGGTGTTAGAACAGAAACCTCATTTTATCAGTTAATGGTTAGAATGAAGCAGTTGCCCCTCAGGAAAGGTTCAGCCTCCTCCTGGTGTGGTGCTATGGGTTAATGAGCTGGACTGCAAAGTCGGGTTTGAACTACAAGGTCAGCAGTTCAAGCTCACCAGCTGTTCCTTGGAAACCCTATATAGGGTCGCTATGGGTCCTAACTGACTCGACGGCTCGACGGCACTTAACAACAACAACAATGCTGGCTCCTTTAGAGAACATTAACAAAGCATGGATAACCTAGATGAAAAGGTAAACCCAGCACTGACAGAGAGTTATCCGCGAAGACTAGGAAGGTTATCATTCAGAGCAGAGTAAGAGAGGCAACTTGGGAGTTTGTAATTTATACGTAGGAAAAAGTGATGTGATTGAGAAGGCAAGGAAGGGACTCCATAAGGCAAAGCTTGAGTTTCCATAAAAGCATGGGTAGAATGTGCTAGGCAGCGAAAGTCAGGGGAAAGGTAGGAACAGAAATGGGAAGTGGCAAGGCTTCCAGGGAACAAGTGAATAGATGAGCTTGTGTGGCATGCAGTATGGAGAGCAGAAGGTTGGACTTACTCAGCTTGGGACCTAATGGTTTCCACCAGGAAGTGGAATGGATGGGGCGTTCTCTCTTTCTCTCTTTTTTTTCTTCCCAGTTTTTATTGTAAACTGAGTGATAGTTTATATGGGAGAACATCAGCTTTACACCATCGTTTCACTGCAATGATTACAATCTCCTCTGTGCATCATCATACAACAGTATTTGCTTCCATTCCCTTTGCTGGTGTTTTTTTTTTTTTTGGTGTAGGGGGATGCACACAAAAACACTCAAGAATATATAATCTATATAATCACTTAAACAACCAAAGGGCACAGTCTGCAAGCCTGCCTCCTGGTTGTCAGCACTCAGTCCTTCTCTTTTCATGAGTCTAGAGTCCTTAGCTGCTCCCTCTCTTCATGTCCCCGTCTCTGTCCCCCATCTCTGGTGTCGCTGCTTCTCTGGATAGGGTTCCGCATTCTGCCTGTGCTCCTCTCCCTTGATGGTCCTAGGGTTCTCTGTTTCTGGACTGTAAGATTAACTACTCCCCTGTTTTTGTTACAAAACTTCTACCTTTACAGTTGTGACCGTTGTAATTAGTCATGATAACAATTACTCACTGTTGAGCAATAAGAATCTTATCCCCATCTCTATTCACCAGACCCATCTAGACAATATGTAAACTATTCAGTGCAGTCTCTGCTTTCCTCACACACTCTTAAGCGAAACTCCCTCTTGAAAACTTGTAAGCCAGTCACTTGGTGCCTTTATCATTGGGTGTTCTCTTGCATGTGGTTTTCCAGTACTGCAGCCAACATTTCATCCAACTCTGCACCCACTTAGGTCCCTTGTGTAGACTTCCCAACTCTACTCTCGGCCGCCTGAGTTTGTTTCCACAGGGCTACAGCCTAAGAATCCCTGACAGACAGACAGGTTTGGAAACCACTGATAGATAAGTTTTCTCAAAGCACAGTCTTCAGTCTGTTTGTATCAGAACCATCTAAGAGTGCTCATTAAGAATATAGATTACTGGACTCCTCTCCAGAGCTGCTAACTCAAGATTTTCTAGCAGGTGGGATTTGGCAAAACGTATTTTAAACACGTTTTCCAAGTGGTTCTTGGCACACAAAAATTTGAGACCTGCTGCAGTTAATGGATGAGCTTGTGAGAGCATAGCCCAGGTAGTGAAGGAATCTTGAACAACTCTGCTGATGATTCCCACAAGTGAGCTTGGCCAGAAACTAGGCAGGATCAGAAAGCAAGGGAACCAGCTCAGTTTAGGACCAACATAGACATCCCAGCTGGGCATGGGCACCAAGGCTGAACAGGGCAGAGAGAAGGGGGCTAGAGAGGACTTATCAGGGCTAGTGCATTGGGCCTTTGTTAAGTCAGCAGATGTCCCTTTCCTTTCTAAACAGACCCTTGATCTCTTTCCCAATGGGTGCAGAGCGCAGAGGGTCTGCAATTTGTAACCTGCCTCCCTGAGCAAAATGTGTGCCCAACCCTGTTCCTTCCTTGGGATTTGGATACTGATCAGAGAAATGACGACATTAAAAGTGGTTAGTATCCAATTTGGTCTCGGTAGTGGTGAGCACTGTCCAGGCTGGTTTGCTCTGGGACCATTGTGAGTCCCATTTCCTGTCTTCTGAGTTGCCTTGGGAGGCTTGTTTCCAAGTCTCTTTCTTTAGTCTACCATCAAGTCCATGAGTTCCCAAGAACTTTTTGTAAATTCCCTTTTATTTGAGTTAGCTAGAATGGATTTCTGTTGCTTGCAACCAAAGAACCTTACCTGTTAGAGCCAGCACTAATGACCTCAGTAAGGTATGAAGAAACTATATAGAGGCAAAGAGACTCTTAAGAGTTAGAGATTACCCTTCTCATTTGTGGAAGGAGACATAGAAAACAGCAGGACCAGCTCAGCTATAGAGAAACATCTATACATGGGTAGGTAGCGTCAGGCATGGACCCAAGTGCTTATTGGAACATTATTTATAATAGCAAAAAAAAAACAAAAAAAAAACGAATTCAGACATATTCACTCAGTGAAAGATAATCATTGTAATTAATAGTGAACATCCCCTGAGTACTGTCTTTGTGCCAGGCAGTGTTTATACATTACATATTACATGTTGTGAGTGCTGTCGAGTCAGTTCCAACTCATAGTAACCCCGTATGGGGTTTCTGAGGGTTTTTTATCTTCGTGGGAGCAGAAAGCCTCATATTTCTCCCATGGCGGGTTCGAACCTCGCGGCTGGCGGGCTCGAACCTTAGATCTTGTGTCACAGTCCAGTGCTTATCGTATGGAGCCATTGTGCACCCTGTGTTACACACTACTTATATTAATTTATTGGATTCACATGACTACGTCGTAATGTAAGCAAATAATCTAGGTGTATACGTCAACAAGGGTGAGTGAATCTTAGATAGATATGCAAGGTTGTATGAAAAAAGCAAGCCACAGAAATTGCACACCATGGGATACTAGTTTTTAAACTTAAAAAAGCAAGGAAAGCAAAACAAATTGTTCAGGAATACTCAAACCATTAAGAAAAGCCAAGAAACTCAAAATATGTGTCCTTGTGGGAAGAGAAGGATACAATTGGGCAGGTCAGGCAAGTCTGCTGAGAGGCAGCTAGGCCTTTGTCTTCTCATGTTTCTATTGTAGAGTAGTTATACAACATGAAGCAGAATCCAGTTTGACTTGTTAGGACCATGCTCTCATGTAATAAAAAACCGTGATTACTGTAGCATTGCTGGTTTCAGTTCATAAGGAGCAGTGGGTTAAGCATTGGGCTCACTGCAAGGTCGGTGGTTCAAACCCACCAACCACTCCACAGAGCAAGATGAGACTCTCTGCTCCCATAAAGGTTTATAGTCTTGGAAACCCAGGGAGTACTTGTATTCTCTCCAGTAGGTTGCTGTGAGTGTTGATGGCAGTCGGTTTGGTCAGTTCACATTTGAGCAAATGTTCCTTTGTTGTTGTTAGTGCCTTCGAGTCAATTCTTACTCGTAGAGATCCTGTGTATTACAGATAATGCACTAGACCGCAAGGTCAACTTGAACTGCAAGATAGGTGGTTCAGACTCACCAACTGCTCCTCGGAAGCCCTGTACAGGATTGCTGTGAGTCAGATTCGACTGAACAGCACTTACAGCAACAATGGCAGCAACATAGGGTTCCCAAGGAGCGGCTGGCTGGTGAGTTTGAACCACCGATCTTGTGGTTAGCAGCCCCAGTGCTTGTGCCACAGCATCACACCAGGGCTCCAGTGTTGCATTAGATGAGTGATTAGTCATGATTGGGTGCTTCGATAAGAAAAAACAACATTGTTATTCAATTGAAGAACAAAGAGGTTGTTAGAACCTTATGCTACAAATTTCTGTTTCAGTAAACGTAATAATGAGGTGAATGTTACTAGACTCTAAGGGAATTTAGCATGAAAATGAAAACTGCAAACTGTAAAAGAATAAAAATAAAATACTATTCTCACCCAAATGTTCATTAAAAAATGATGAGTGAGTCAAATGGTGTCTTATGGTATAATGGAGCATTATGGCAGCATTTCATCCCCAAGTGGCTGCCATGTCAAAGCTGGGCAGTCTTCCATGGTAAGTTGGGTTCAAAGTGGCATTTCGTTATTGGGACTGTACCTTTGCTGTAGCAATTCTAGCAGCTAACTGCAGAGCTCCTTGTTAAGTTATATGTCAAGCTTTTCTCTGTAATATGTACGCCTTTTAACTTTTTTTCCTTGTTGTTCCGTCTTCATTCTTTCCTGTATGACTGACATGGGTTTATCTTTTCTCCCTTTAGAGAGTTTTGAGGTGACAGTCACCAAAGAAGGTGATGAAGGGTTCTTTCTATCCCTCTTATGAATCTTAACCCACTAACTTTGTTGATAAAATTGGGAATCAGCCCTTGAAGAGAAGATATTGTCATGTTCTTTTGCCCCAATTTATTCTCCTATTTGTTTCTATTTTTAAATATATTGATGGAAATTGTATGTAACCAAACCCTTGGTTAGAAATATCTGGAAATCAGACATCCATTTGAACTATATGGATAGTAACCATGCATCAGAAAATAAAGAAAAAGTTGAAAATTTAAAAGAATTTTTGCTTTGTAACGACAGTTTCCTATTTGTGAGTTCAATCATAATTTCTGTATGCGATACATTTTGTGACATTTTATATGTACACCAAAACATTGATACATGTACTCCCTGGGCAAGAGTGGAAGAATAGATTTTCACTCCTAGTAAAGTTTGTAAATCCACTTTGCAGTAGCTAAGTTCTGAGGCAGGTTTATCTTTCAGGTATGATAGGACAGACTGAGCAAAGGAAAGTGCATAGTTTGTAAATCCACTTTGCAGTAGGTAAGTTCTGAGGCAGGTTTATCTTTCAGGTGTGATAGGACAGACTGAGCAAAGGAAAGTGCAGCCAACCTCCCCTTCCCCACAGCAGTAATGGCCCTAGCAGTATGTGTTAGCTGTTGAAATGGATGCCTGAAGAGTTGGTATTTCTACCTGTTTCATTTAGTACTTTGTTTTGATTCCCTAATTTTAGCCAGGCTCATTGCACAGGAAGACTTGCTTCTTCTGATTTTTTTTTTTTCTCTTTTCTTTTTTGGGGGTGGTGGTGGTGGGAGGGTGGGGGACACAGAATTTCTGTAATTCTGGTGCTGAACCTATATCTCATGCTGCCTCCTCTCTCAACACTTAACTGTGTGTTTTAGCCTTCTCCCTGGTCTAAACCAAAACAAAAAACAAAAAAACCACGCTGCCCGGCTCTCCCCAGTAGGTGGGCAGTCTCTGGGCATTAACCAGGCCTTGGCTGTTTGCTAATGAGACCGACTTTGCCCCTGGATCCATCCTAAGTACTCCTGTGAAATGCCTGTCTATATTTTCTCTTTCTCTCTTTTGTACTCCTGCATGAATGGATGCAAAGTAAACGAGTTGCTTGGAAAGCCAGAACTTGCTTCTTTTTACTAAAGCCCCTGGAACTTACCCATGTTAAAGCACAGCGCCCTCGCTTTGTCCACAGCCCTCCAAATCCCTGGCTGCCAAATTGTTGTCATTTGTTTTCCTTTGGGGACGGAGGGTGGGTAGAGGGATGTGCGGAAGGGTCTATGTGGCAGAAATCCTAACTGTTTCTGCTTTGACTCCCCAGGTGAGATTTGTGAATTTAAAATTCACGGGCAGAGCGTCCCCTTTGATGCAGTGGTAGTGGATAAATCCACAGGTGAGGGACTGATTCGCTCCAAAGAGAAACTGGACTGTGAGCTGCAGAAAGATTACACGTTCACTATCCAGGCCTACGACTGTGGGAAGGGGCCCGATGGCAGCAACGTGAAAAAGTCTCATAAGTAAGTAAGCTGGACAAAGAGTGGAAGCAACTTACCAGGGAAGTGTGTGTCTGGATAGAAAGAATATAACAGTCACCTTTGCCCATGTCCCCAAGACTTTTCTTTGTGTTTGAAAGATAAGACAGCCGATGGCTCTCAACTGTCTACAGTTAGATTGTAAGCTCTTTGAGGGCAAGAACCATGTCTGTTTGTTTACTCTCTTGTGTATTGCTCCTAGCAAGAGTCTGACACATCTGAGGTGCTGAATTAATAATGATTGAATGTTTATCCCATCAAATATTCTATTGAAGAATATAAGACCCTACACTGAAAATTCGTAAAGCCCGCTTTTCTCCCCAAGGAAACTATTCTGTAGTTGCATGTATCTTTCACTGTGAATTCTAAGGGCTTAGTATTCATTTGTGCTGCTGAGAGTTCACTGACCTTTACACCCTGTCCTGGGTGTGTTCGTATGCTTCCTGTCAGGTGGGAATGGCGGGTGGGTGGAGAACAGGCTGGGCAAGACAGATTGAGAGTTATAATCCCTTCTCCACCACTTAACGAGCCTTTTGACATTAGGCAGATAATGTATTTTACTGAGTCTCCGAGGAGCTCTGGTAGCGTAGTGGTTACGAATCGGGCTGCGAACCACAAGGTCAGCAGTTCGAAACTACCAGCTGTTCCGCGGGAGAAAGATGAGGCTTTCTACTCCCGTAAAGATTTACACCCTCGGAAACCCTGTACAGGGTCGCTATGAGTCGGAACCGACTGTAAGGCACTTAACAACAACAACAACAAGGAAGGGAGCATGTGGTGAGATGACCTCTTGTAGGGTCACACCCAGTGGATTGATCTGTTGTGGGCTCTTGGTGGATGTACAGGTGCTGTGTGCTACTGGATCACCTGTCCTCCTTTCCCAGAGTGTGATATTATTACTGTTTTCTCTGAAAAGTATCGGTACCTTTTCTGAAGTCTGCCAGCTATTTTTATGTGTAGTCTGTTTTGATGAGGGACAAGAATGCCCATGTGTGGTCATTTCCATGCATAGTTATTCTCAAAGAGTCTGGAAAGCAAGTTAACACTACCAGTATAAACTAGCCCCTTACTGCTACCTGAAAAGGTGTGGAGCAGCCCACTTGGTTCTTTTGGTGTAGAGGAAGAGATCATGGTAATCTGATGACACCTATCTAAAGTCAGTGTGGGTAATAAGTGTGTACCCCATACCCAAGGGGAGGAGCTGAGGTAGCAGTAAAGGCTTGACCTCCCCAAAGTCCTTTATTTATGGGATCAGTAATGGATGAAGCTCTTAATGAAGCCGTCCCATGCTTTCTCCTTTGCTTACGCAATCTTCCTTTGGATATGTTTTGTATATTTTGCAACAACATATCCATTCTTAACTTTGTGATTAGAGAGGAGACTGATGACTGATATGTTTACCTCTCTTACGCGTGTCCTGATATAGTATTCCGCATATTGCTAAGGAAAATCCCTTTGTTGTTGTTGTTGTTGTTGTTGTTGTTGTTACGTGCCATTGAGTAGGTACCGACTCATAGTGACCTTACACACAGCAGAACGAAACACTGCCCGATCCTGGGCCAACCTCACTACTATTGCCACGCTTGAGTCCATCGATGCTGCCACTTGGCCAGTCCATCTCGTTGGGGGTTTTCCTGTTTTTCACTTACCCTCCACCTTACCAAACGTGATATCCTTGTCCAGCGACTAAAATCCCTAGTTTCTTCTATATTCCCACTTTTTCACCAGTTGGTGTATTCTTAGGACCTGGATGAATCAACCCAAATCTCTATTTCAGCTTTTGTCGTTTTCACTTTGAGTTAAAAACAGTCAACAGTTTGCTTGTCACTTATGAATTTCATGCAATAAGATGTTGGACAATGGACGTTTTAAAACGGGGCAGAATGGGTGTTGTTTGCGTAGAGAAAACCAGGTTTTTTCCCTTCTTTTCCACCAGAGCCGCTGTCCACATTCAGGTGAACGACGTGAACGAGTATGCACCTGTGTTCAGGGAGAAGTCCTACAAGGCGACAGTCATCGAGGGGAAGCAGTACGACAGCATTCTGAGGGTGGAGGCCGTGGACGCGGACTGCTCCCCGCAGTTCAGCCAGATTTGCAGCTATGAAGTCGTCACTCCAGATGTGCCATTTACTATCGACAAAGATGGTAAGCACAGAGGAGCATGTTTCACCATCCTGGGGCAGGCACAGTTCCTCCCAACCCTCCAGTGCTGAGGCCCTGTTTCTATACGGGACACTTTTTGCGGGAGCCCCATGGATTGGAGACTTGGCTTGGCGTGTGCACGTCTTCGAATTTAGATTTTCACTCTGTCCCCGACCCCCTGTTTTCCAGCACCCTGATAATCCTGTGTTCTCTTGTGAAGGTTTTTTCTTTTCTTTTTCCTTCCCACCAAAATCAAATGAAGACCACTCACTTAATGCATGTTTTATCTTTTAATCATCCCAGCTTCCAGGCCCCTCGAATCTGAATAAGACAAGTCATCTGTTCGTTGTCGTCCCCCAATTGAAGATGTGTACCTTACTGCTAGTGCTCGGTCCACCTCCAGCCTTAGTCATTGAACAGAATCAACTCCTTGTAGAGCTCCCTTCTTGGTTACAGTTGTAGCTTACTCTAGTGATCATACAGAAAGGGCACGGTCGTGGGTGCAATTATGGACATTGTCTATCTGTACCCTTTCACAAAAAACAAGCCTCTGCTCTAAGGGGATGGGTAGGAAATCTCTCTTTTTCTTGAACAAAGTAAATCTTTTAGCAAGAGTAGTTAGTGCAGATGTTGTTTGGATGATAGAATGTGTGCCTGTTTATAGTCTCTTATATGGACCCCAAAGGAGCTCTGGTAGTGTAGTGGTTACGAGTCCACCTACTAATCTTAAGGTCAGCAGTTCGAAACTACCAGTGGTTCCATGGGAGAAAGATGAGGCTTTCTGCTCCCATAAAGATTTACAGCCTCAGAAACCTTATACAGGGTCACTATGAGTCGAAACTGACCCCACGGCACATCACCACCACCACCATATGGACCACAAGGTCGGTTTGAACCAAAAAAGGTCAGTGGTTCAAAGTCATCAACTGCTCCTTGGAAACCCTATGCAAGGGCGCTGTTAGTAGGAGCCTACTCGATGGCACTTAGCAACAACAACAAAATATGTACAGTGTTAAGTGTTTAATAGAAAACCCAGTGTAGAACTCTAAGAATAAATGCAGGTT